AGTTTGGCTAGACTTAATTCGCTAGCTTGTTGTACAAGACGAATTCTAATAAGCCATTTCATGATAGAACGGTACTACACAGAGGGCAGATTTATTGCTGACAAAGCTAGAACCGCAAGGTCGATGCTCCGAAATGAGACCTAAAATTCGTTAAGCCGTACCAGATGACCCTATAATTTTGGTACAAAAATGGCATATGACTTTTAATTTGAATATTTGCAATATCTGCTTGAACTAAAATGTATCATTTAACATAGACGAAAAATTCGTCTATTTTCTTAAAAATGATTTTTTGCAATAGAGTGGTTCTTTTTTAATAAAACGCAGTTCACTACCACAGTTTCCTTCATGATATGTTATTAGAGACCATATTATTTTGCTGTCAAAGTTGTGTTGTAAAAAACTTATATTTAATTGAGTTTTTAAATTTCGACCTTTAAATATTTTGGCTCCAGTTTTGACTCTTCCGGCCTTCACTGATTTTTAAACATATATATAGTCTTCGAATAATGCATTTCGTAGAGCTCCACTTTCTTATGCGCAGAGTGGATTTTGCAACATTTTAATCTTATGTATAAATTTTATTTTTATACTTCCTATTCGCTTAATTTGTGTTTATTCCATGTTTTTTAATCGCATGTTTATTATATATTTCTTTTTAAATATTAAGTGAAAATCCTACTAGGAATGAGAAAGATTTCTTCAAAAGGCTGGTTACTCGTTGATACTGCTTTTATAATTTGTTAATTTCGCCAAAAACGCAATGTTTAATATGGTAATAAGGAAAGAAAGGTGTAGATGGCCTCATAATTTAGTTAGACTTTAGTGAAAAAGTTTTAAGATGATATTAGCGATAGATCACGGAGAACGACGGAGCTATGGAGATTTTTAACGGAGAAAGGTGTTTCCTCACTAAATGCAATCATTTTTGAGGAAATCAGAGGGTTTCGACAACACGACATAGGCATACAATGGGCTTTCGGCTTGTAAGAAAAGGGCAAAGGATGCTTGATATTTCAGAGACTGTAGCGCGATGTTATGAAGTTTACATATATATTATAAAGAAATTTAAAAATAGGATAGAATTTGGTGAGATAGAAAGATTAAGGATGATGTGATGTAGAGGTTATGACCAGCTCTGAACAAGTTGTAAAAGGACAGTAATGGTATTGAGGAGTATTAAGATAATATATGGAGGTAATACTAATGCAAAGAAAAGTTATAGAACATGCCGAGTCTAAAGTGGTATTAAGAAATCACAACAGGTTCTGAGCAGGTCGTTACAAAAGTGTAGCGGGTTTTGAAAGGTATTTGAGGCCCAAGAAGATATTGTTCAATGGATTAAGATAAGATCATTACATCTATGGCTTTCTTATTGTCCAGTTAAGAGATGTTCCGAAAACCATTCGAATTCATAAGCGGTGGAGTGATGTTATTTATATGCGCATATACGATTACTTAATGCAAGAATTTATCCAGTAATAGGTCCATAATTGATATGCCTTTAACTTGTGTTATCCAAAAATATTGTTTGATGCTCGACGATATTTGACGCAACATATTTATAATTATAAGCTCGTTAAGGCTATTATAAGCTTCTTCTAATAGTTCACGACATTACTGGTTAGGTTTGTTCTGCTGACTACAAGACGTCTTTAAGCTGCTTGGTTCGGTACCATCGCGAGTAGTAAAAGAAGCCATTTCTTTTTCATCACACACATCACATCACATACATTATACGCTTCATGTTAATATGACTTGTTAATATGTCAGTGCAACTTTTTTATAGCATCAGTTTTTTGTTTTACACAGGATAACCAAATCAACTTTAAATTTTTTTCTGAAATGGCATCAATAATTTAATACAAATTCTTTTTCTTTTTCCCATCAGTTTTGCGCTGGAAAAAAATTCGTTTTACCCATTTCTTTACACATAGATTAGTCGAATTTTAGGCAAATAGGCCAGATTTTTAAAGAAAAATTGTGAATCTAATAGTTCTTTTTGGCATTACTTGCATTTAGCCCAAACATATTTTCACTCGCTTGACTCGCATTTTAAAGAGATTCTGCAGATATTTTTTTGATTAAAACCTATACGCTTTACAAATACGCTTTTCGATATTTCTCAGATATTTTGACAATCGTATTCTTTTAGCAGTGATTTTTTTGTAAGAATTTTTGCATTGACAAGATTCTCCACTCGACATTTTTCCTGTAACTAGAAGGTGCTAAGAAAAATCAGATTTTGCATAAAATAATTTTTTTAACTGCCAACAACCCAAATTGATCGGCGGTTGATGCCAGTTTGTTTGAAGTTGATCCATATCATCAGAGTTGTCTTTGGTTGAACGAGTTATTATCTCATTGCAAATAATGCATATACAAAAATCCTTCGAGCATTTATCTAGAAATATATTAAGGACATTAGTATTAATTCTTTCCTCACTGGTATCTTTCAATTTCTTTTTTTTTGTTAGACAAGGTTTTTGATGAAGCCAAGATAATGAAACTTGATTCCAAAGAATATATATCAGAGAACATAGGATTTGACGAAATTGTGTGAAAAAGAAGATGAATATATCCATCCACTATTTTCGTTAAGATTTTCCCACACAAGTAGAGGATTGGTATTGTTTTATCACACTTTAGAGCGGTGGTTTGTTATTAGAGAGATGGAGGCAATTCCGTAATGACTTTATGTTTCAATTTTCTGCTAGCAAGTTTTTCAACTACGGTCCCATAAAATCAATGCCACAAGGTTTGAATCGCATACTTCCAGAAGCATTGGCTTGATTAAGTTCTGCTCTTTAGTAGGAATAAAGTTGATTTCAATCCGAGTGATTATCGAAGAGGATGGAGAAACTAATACTTTCTTAGTTGAAAGGTGCCATCGTAATAATTAGCCGACCAGTCAAAGCAGAAATGGTATCTGTTCGACGAATTTTTGCTTCCTCCAAATAATATAAAAATTGAATTTAAATTTAAATAAATTTTTAACATATAAATAACATACAATAAAAATAACACATAAATAAGAATGTATTAATGTTTCCCACTTAAATAACATAGTTCTCAGATTTTAAGGCTTAGATTAATTCGATTTACTGATCATTTGGTAACTTTAGAGATCTAAGCTAACAAAGCGTTAGTAGAACAAATCTGTAGATTTAACGAAAAAAATGAAATAAATTTATCTGAATGAAAAAGAAATTTTAAATATTAAGCTTTAAGCTTTTAGAATTTCGCAATAAATTCCGAAATTTTCGACAACTCGTTTCTAGCTCTAACTTTCTTTATATTTATATTTGTTATTATTGCGATATTATATTGTGATATTATTATTATTCTTAGTTTTTTTTCTATTTTATGACTATCTTTAGGTATTTTTCATGAAATAATTTATAATAGACAAGCAACACTTTTGCAATTAAAGAAAAAATTTGAATAAGAAAATTTGTCTCAATTATCAAGAAGACCTAGCCAATAATCAATTAGTGAAAATGTCAATTGGTTTTCGAAACTGTTTTAATTCCATAATTCTAAAGGTCATAGGTCAAACACGTTCTTTAAAACTTCCATTGAATGATTTAAGAAATAAAATTTTTCGAAAATTTCATATCGTTGATCTTCTTTTTCCTTACTTCTAAATGTGAAATAACGCTAGTTATTTCCATTTAGGCTTTCTTTATTAGCTATAAGCATCATATGAAGTTTAAAGTTTTTATCAAGAAATCACCTTGACTATAGAAATACAAGCAGGTCGCCCAGACAGCTCGAATTTTTAAATGATAGATTTACTTAAATAATAGAATTTTTAAATGACAGCGTCGAGGATAAGATTCATATTTTTGCCTCTCAATATCTGAATCGCTATCCACTTGGCTAATTTACCCTTTCATCCTTATTTTTCATTTCTAAAAAATGCATCATCGATTTTAGGAAATGAATTTCAGAAGAAAAAGGTTTTTCATGGTTTGTTTTTCTCATAAATTGAAAAAAAACAGCAAATTTTTTTTGAAATTCATAATAAGAAATTTTGGAAAAATTGACGAAAGAAAAACAGTGCAATAATCCAGACAGCAGCGTTTACGGATGCATGCTTTAATGCCAACGACCATAATACAAGTCTTCACGCCCACAACTCTAAGGAAACCACACCCATTTTGAGGAAACTCAAATATAAGCTGAAGATGGTACAAGTGGCCATTAGTCTTATGTGAAGTATCGTCCAAAAAGTATCTGACCATGATATTTATCTGACTATATTAAAATAGTCAACGCTGTAAAAATCCACCGTTTTGTTGAATATTTCATTAGGATCAATTTGCTAAGGTCGGTTTTGCATTAAAATCGTTGTTTCTTGCAAGGTAATACTCAAAGAATACCTAAGTTGCCTAATCGCTTGTTTTTACTTGCCACTTGAATAAACTAGTGCTCTTAAAAGTGGTCTAAAGTGACCATTGAATCGCTCGAGACCCAGTTATTAACTGGCATCATTGTTGAGTGATACTTTACTTTTCGTCAATGCAAATGAGAACTAAGCTTGGAGGCATTTTTTTAGACAGGATCTTATAAAAAAATTCGGAATTATAGCATGATAAGGGAAATAACTGCTTTAATAAATAGCGGAGATATTAAGATATCCAATTATTCAGCAAATCCTTTTTATTCACCATATTACAAGAAATTCATGGACTTCTGCCTATTTTAACTGTTTCAGAAAGAAATTCGACTTTTGCTAGGCAGTGGACTGTTTTGTAGAAATGATCATCAATTGTAATAAAAATTTAGTTTAGTTTGGTTTAATTTTGCCTCATTTTATTTACTTATGTTTGTGTTTAAATGTTTGATATTTTTATCTTACAACTAAATGACTCTTCATTTCCACTCAATAAATCACATTTGAAGGACTAAAGGTGACCGTTAACGAAGACTGAAATGAGCACTCGTTAGAAAAATTAAACGCTTACACGTGCTGTTCAATTGCCATTCACCACTTCATGGATACTTTAATCGTTAGAAGTATCAAACCAAAATTTCTCCAATTGTTATAATCATTCCAATCACTTGGCCTGGAAAAATCGATTTCGCATCTTATCTTCGCATGATTTTTTTAAAAAAACTTTTGAAACCACCCTTTCTATTATCGTTTAATTCTTATTCTAATTTAGTGCGAGCTCATCAACGACTATTAAGTATGGCTAATACTTCTGGAAATATATCTTCACTCGAAACTACAACATTAGGATTTGCTGGTTATCGCCCCAATAATGCGAGTCTTCAATCAACGTCCTCTGCTCCTCATGTTGGTGCAACTTCAGCTTTCGGCCCTTCACCATATTTAACTGGTCATTTTGCAAATGGTTATCAGCCTACTCCAGATTTTCAAAAGTTAGTTTTTTTCGAAAAGTTATGTTCGCAAAATTCAAATATTAATGCAATTTAATAAATATTTAAAAAAAAATTTATTTATTTTTTATATGATGAAGTTCGAAAAAAAATTTAAGTTTAAAATCGAACTATTAGCTTTAAGTACATGAAAAAAATGGCCATTTTGATTCACCATAATATTATGTTCAGTTACGTCGCAAATGGACCTCCTACAGCCGGATGGTATGGTGCTCATGATCCTCGATTGAGTAAGTTAAATTTTTATGCTACTTTCCAGTGACTCCAATAACTATAGAAAAGTCGAAAAAGTTACGAAGAGATTTAGGAAAGAAGAGCTAGAATAAGCGAAAAATTTTTAAAGGATTCAAATGAAAGTCGCAATGAAAGATGTAGTTATTATTTAGTAATAATACTTTTGTAATTACTACTAACCGGTACATATCACGTAAACTAATTGCATTGCACCTTCGCATTGATTCCATTCAACGAATTATGTCGACTGATTTGGTCCAATTATAATGCCGTAAGTCGGGCATTTTTATGAAATCAGGATTTTTTGGCAATAATTATCGATGAACTTATAAATGGTAAAATCAAATTAGGCAATAATCACGGGTTCTCAATTATTAGAGAAATCCTTGTAATAATATGATTATTATATTGTAATTAGGTGGTTTTACTTACATTTTAATCATTTAAATAATAAGTATCATTTTGTATTTTTATCAAATTCATAAATTCATAATTCTTTGGATCCAACTTGAGTTAACTGGCCATTGGAGCTAATCCACTAATCGATTTGTCAAGTACTAAGGAAATTCTTAAAATCCAGTTTTTATAGAGATTTTATGTTACTTTTATAGTGCATATATGTTCTTCCAGTGAAGCACTCAAAAATTCAATTAGGGTTGTTAAAGGTTATACTTGAATAAAAATAGGCATTAGAGTGGTGAATTCATTAGATAATAAATACATTCTTGATAATAAACCTACTAGTAATAAACATATTTTTAAAAAATCCTTTATGATATCCACTAAGGCTAATTTCTATTTATATATAGAAAGAATTCAGTCATAGTTTGATGCTATTTACCTTGCATTCTTGTGCAATAAATGTATATTTTTCTTAATATTAAAAATAATATTATAAGTATTTTTAATCGAAAAAAATTGATGATGCGAAAAACCAGTTCGAATTGTTGATCAATACCAACAATTGGAAGGAAAGGATAGGAATGAATTGATCTAATTTATTTTAGCAACACTGAGTTTAGCGAAGAAAACTGAAGAGATATTTTCGGTGTAATTTTAAAAAGGTATCATTAGAAAATTTATTATAAAATTATTGGTATTGTTAAAAGAGTTGCGATTTTTTAAAAAATTTAAACTTCTTTCAAAATTATTCCAAGTATCATCGAAAATGAATTTAGCTGAAAACAAGCACCGAAATATTATTTGAGGGAGTTTTTAAATTTTAAGAAAGCTGTTTTTTAGTGATTTAAATGCTTTCGAAAGTTAATTCGAACTAGTTTAGCGCTTTTTTTAAGGTTGAATAGTAAAAGAAACAAACATAGTTATTTGTTTATTGAACAAATTATATTATTTTCTGAAGTTTCTTATATTTTTAATGTGTCTTGAATCCATCGCCATAAGTTTCAGGAATTGAAATTGAAAAACGACTCTTAAAATATTTAAAAAAGTGATTATTAAGAGAAGCCACATGGCTTTCTAGAGGACCATTTATGAGGATTGCAGGAAAAATTGAGAAGTGTCTACAGGGTCCATAAGGAGATCACACTATGTTAATAGAATGTAAAAATTTATTTTCTATTTCGAAAAATTAATTTTAACTATAAACCACATACAAACATAATCTCCTAACGAGAAAGAGCATTAAGGAAAAAGAAATTTATAAAAAAGGAATAATAATAATAATAGAGATCACCAGTTATATCTGACGAATTTCCAGCCAAATAGATAAAACTTCCTACAATTAGCTACAAGGCACTTAAGTCTTCAAAATAATATTCTACTCTACTTAAAAGTAAAATTCTTATCAATACATTTTTTCTAAACGTATGATGAAATTCGTGAAATATGTACGTTTTTTCCCCACATTAGATAAGTCTTTAATAAGCGCAGTATTTTTAACTTAGAAAAATAAAATTCCTCATAATTTTTATCAAGTTCTCATTATACTCCTTGCTTGTCATTTCTGAATGAGAGAAACTACCGGTTAAGGGTCACTGATCTAATTGACAAACTGTTGCATTTCATGGATAATTCCATGGATGTAGTATATTTTTTATCATCTCATTCTATTGTTTCTTACAATGAAGATTTCTTTTTTCAGTTCTCTCTCTTCAATTAGATTCATTTTATCTCCGATCCTTTCTTCTTTTACAATATTGTGGGGTGACACATACAAATTTATTCATTATTTCATCTGATATTATAATAGACTCCTAACATAAAGGTTGTCTTTGAAAGAAAACCGGAAAATTAAGTGCGAAAACGATTTACCGAACGATTGATGTGTCAATAGGTATCGATCAATGAATGACGACCTAATACCGTATATTTAACGCCTTACTGGTCCCTATATTTTTCATCGTTCATTTCTTTAGCGTCCCCTTCGTTCTCAAGTACTATTGTCGTCCACTTGTTCCTTGATATCTAATCCACGTAATGATTCCGTTCTACACTTCGTCAAACCTGTTTTCCTGAAATCTTTTTCTATACTATTTTTATACTATATTAGATTCGCAGTTTTCTTTTATAACTATTTTAAACACGGAATATTTGGAGCAAATCTAGATTACTCTTCCTTTTGGACTGATAAGGCATCATAAAACTTTTGAATGTAAATATCTAAGCTTTCGAAACTGAAAATATTTGGCTAAATTCGATGTGGAAAATAGCATACGAAGTTGCATATTTTATTAAATAAGCATTTTCAGGATTGAGTGATAGTAGTAGTGAATCGCTCAAAAATCCCTCAATATTTCATCCATGAATATTTCTATAGGCACTTAAAAATGTGCTGATAAGGCTAAGCCATATGCTACTATTAAATATAAATATATATATTGTAAATTGCTCAGTTAATTTTCTGAACCAAATTTCTGAGTTTGAAATTTCCAATTTTTTATAAACTCTCTACTCTCTCTTAATTTTCAAGTGAATGATTTAAGAAAAGGTTAGGTGAATTTTTGCAAAAATTGAAATCGCGAATTTTAAGTAGTGAGGTTCTCGAACATCTTCTACTAATAAATTCCTTAAATAGTATAGAAATTTTTGACTTTTTTTTGCATTTAATGGTATGAGTGCCAACACGCATTATTGGCATGGGCATGGTAAACATAGTCATCATTAGCCATCATTAAGAGTGGGTTAAATGAATTAGTTATAAGTTTATTTAATTTTAAAATTAGAAAATTGTTTTGATGAAAGAAAGCGAATTCAAGGCGAGGAAGGTATAAATGAGGAGTGATAAAAATAGTGAGAGGCAAAGGCGTCAAATAGGAATATTCCATAGATAGAATTGATCATAGCATCAGTCAAGGAGATCATCTTTGTTATGGCAGGATTTTGTCGAAATAATTCTATCAAGCACGAGTTGACGTATAAAAATAAATTTTAGTGAGAAGCATGGGTCAGTAATCATGGTTGATATAAACTTAGAAATTTAATTGTTTTCCAAACAGTATGGTACGTAGGTGGTCAATTCATGAAAAGTCAGGTGCTAAATGGATAAATAAATGTAGTTATAAAACAGCAGGAAGTCAGCAAAGCGTTCTCGCAACAGTTTTGGGATTATAGTCATATGTACCCCCTATTCCTGTATAGCAAACAATCCATTGGTAAATAAAGAGTGAGAAAATAATATTACAATATTTGTACACCGTATGCATAAACTTTGGCCGACTTCAGTTTTCAACATAAAGTAACATGCACGGAAGGCCAAGTATGGTGATACTATATAGTACCATACAATGTTTAACAACTACAACTACAGTCACATGAAGGTAAAAGAATGAACTTTTTGGCTATTGTGAATGATGAGAACTAGATTAAGATTAAAACTTTTTCAGTGCCTCGACTCAGTTCGGGTTTTGGCCTTAACTGTGGCATCAATCCAACTCAAGCAGCGATGCACGGACTACAACTACCGATGGCAACACACCCTGGTTCAAGAAGGAAACGTAGGGTGCTTTTTTCACAGACTCAAGTTTATGCCCTAGAACAAAAGTTCCGCACATCCAAGTATTTGACAGCACCCGAACGCGAGGCATTAGCTAGTTCCATCGGTCTTTCTGCCACGCAGGTATTTTTCATTGTTTTTTTTGTTTTTATCATGTTACAAAAGATTTCTTTTTTTTGTTTCGATCTATTTTGTTCGAAGTGACAATGATATTTTAATAATATTATCTTGCAAAATTCCAGTGTTCATCGCCTTTTCTCGTTTTTAACTGTTAATTCTTTATTTGCATAAAAAATTGCCAGTTTCCTACAATTATTATTAATACTGATTTTTTTGACAAAAGATCCAACTGATCGTGGGAGAAAAGTGATTAGTCTATTGTCATCTTATTACTATCCTAATTATTTCTCTTCACCTATCTATCATTATTATTATTATTACAGTTGCAAAATCTATTGTTGAAATCGCAATTATTAATTAAAAATTATTTATCGCCCTTATTTTCATACTTATCATAGTGAAATTAGCGAAAGCCAGTAAAATCAATCCATATAATAAGATTTTTTGAATTTCTTAAAGTTCTATCACATCATTCCTACTAATTCCAATTTCATCTTTTGATATTATATTTAAATTTTTCGGTTCAGTTGAAATTTTATTATCCTATTGATCCTATCGACATTTATTGCTTCCTGATTTATCTCATTAAATATTAATCGACAATTTATAGAACAATTAATATGGCTAGTGTTATTATTAGCTTTCCACATTTTCTATGAAATGCTGCCTTATTTTTATAAATTAAAAGGTGACCGTGCATGGTTCGAAGATTTCTTTTGTGTGCTATAGGATTAGAATTTTCATAGCGATGAGTAACTTATTTTTATATCCAGTGATATTGTGCCACAATGTATATTTAATTTAATTCATGATGCTATCGTTCAGTTTATGATAACTACTAATCAGTTATAATCGATAATTGATCATAATAACTACTAATTTGTCATGAACGATAAAAAATTTCAACAGACAAAGAGAGAACATAGCCATTGAAAAAGGCGATTTCTAATTGCTTGATGGTTAAGAAATAGCTCAAATTGCTCCTAATTAATAAATTTTGTAGAATCAAAATAATTTGTCGATGACTATTTCGAACGAAAAATTTTGTTAAAAATTTTCACTTTCCATTTCAGGTAAAAATTTGGTTTCAAAATCATCGATATAAATGCAAACGACAGGAAAAAGAACGAAAAATGACTGATGGGAGGACGACAAGAGATGATAGTCAAACGCCAGCCGCATCAAGGACACCTACTCCTATTGATAATTGTGGTACTGACAAGTTAGTTTAATGCATTTTAATGCATTCAACATATTTGTTAACAGTTCCTTTTTTATGTAATGTTGCACTAGAAGGTTAACTAATGCTAAATTATCGGATAAAGTTTTTTGAGTTTGAAATTCGAAATTTTTTACTTAAGAAGAATTTTCGACGATGTTACGTAAATGATTTCTCTTAAAGAGCATTCTCCCATTCTTCACATCTAATCCATGGTTAGGCTCCCTCCGCTCACTTGAATCTAATTTTGCCAAGGAGACACTTGACCATATAAAGCAAATGGGTAGCAGGTACCACCTGAAAGAAAGAAGGGCTATATAAATTTTTTCAGCAGTTCTGTCAACTTTTTTCACTACTGGCTCTGATATTTTTTTTTACCTAAATTTTCGGCTTCACATTTTGAATAACAGATGGTTAATTCTCTTAATATTTTATTCTCACTGAACATTACCATTATGAAAAGAGTAAAAATAAGAGCCGTTAATTTAATGTTGCTAAAAATTGTGATGAGGGAATAGGCAATTTTCTTAATCCGTTCAGAATGTTTAGCAAAGAAATGGATAGCTATTTATGAGTTAATAATGTTATAGGAAAACAAATTTGTCGCTGTTAACGAAAGATTGCAAAAAAGATGAGAATTCAATTGGATCGCCAGATTCTCATCCTGAACATTTACTAAATTTGAGTACCTTTCCTGATGGATTGCCCGATCTCAAAAATCATAATTTTTATCAACAGGTTAATCTAATTTCAATAATTTTTTTTCAATATTTTTTTAATATAGTAAATATAGTAAGTGATCTTATGGAAAAAACTATCCAACATAGTCGTTATCATTATCTAATATCTCTTCCATAACGTATTGACAGATCGTTGATTATAGAAAATGGCAATATTATCCATATTTTTTGAAAATATTTTACGATATTTATTTATTACTAGTGAAATATCTCTATATAAAAATGGCTATGGATCAACAAATTGATAATTTTTATTAGAGATGGTTGGGCTATTAGATTGCTTATAATAAAAATCCTCCTAGAGAACAGGAAATTCAGTCTTTTTCAGGCGATTTGCCAACAAAGTAATATGTATCAACAAGGCGCTTTCTCTTTTCCGCCATTTGGTACTCAGCCATATCCGCCAACGCAGAATCCTTATTATCCATATTATGGAAAATAGGCACATCCTGGCGAAAAGATTGCAATATTAATAACAAGTACTTCGTTAGGTTTTTGTTAATTTGTTTTGCATACAGAAAAGTGTGACATTAATAGCTCGCAAAAATCTTCATCCATTATTTATTTGTAAAAGTGGTTGTCTAGATCCCTTAAAATCATTAATCTCCTAATCCTAATAATGTTGGATGAACGTCTGACAAAAAATGTGATCTATTTTTCTATCTCTTTCGATTAAGTTCGCTTTAAATGCGATCTTTGTATATATTTTTTGAAATGATTCCCAACATCTGCTTTTGCTCAGCTATTCAGCCAATTCAGCCAAGTGATTGTATTTATTAAAACTAGTCCTGGAATTCCAAATGCATCATTGTTCATCTTGCTTTTCGCTGTTTTATTGAAAAAAGTGGGCTTAGATTGTTTCAACGATTAGCTTGGTGAAGTAGTTTGCTTTCTTTTCTTTTCGGGATTTTATTAATAATGTAAAATAGAAATATAGGCTATATGGTTATTTTAAATCATCTTGCTTGCATTTCTATCGTATTAAAAGATTTGAACCAAAGTTTTACAAGTAATTGTGGTGAAACTTATAAACTTATTTCATGGATCACTTGTATGGATTTTTTACAGCGAGCTAAATCTATGCCAAATATTTCTTAGCCTGAGGCTCTTTCTTAGTTGTGTAGTATTTGTCTATGTCAACTTTTTTCAATTGTTGTTTAATAATAATATTCTTTTATACTCAAATGAAAATTATTTCTCGATTATCGATAAATTGTTTTTATTTGAATTTATTGAAGAACAGAACAAATTTTCTAATTTCCCGTTCTTACTCCTTTTATTAAATTGAATACGAAAAATTTTTTTAAAATGAACGGTAAATTTCTCGAAATAACAATTTTCTTGTTCTGTGATAATTATTTTTATTTATTGAGAGATCCAAAAAAACGAAATTTTTGTTTTTTTTGCAAATTGCTGCATATCTTTCATTTTCATTTATTTTATTCATAAAAATTTCATATATCTGTTATATGTTATTTTTGTTTAATAAAATATAGATTTTTTAAAAAACCTGGATTTTTTTGCCTGATAATTCATCATTTTATCATTTTATAATACATTAAATCAAAATATTGCTAGAGAATAATCTTAAATCTTTTGAATTCATCGCAGTTAACAAAAATTTCGCCCTTCTTCCTCATTTCATTCCGTCTGTTGAAATTCTTTTAAATGTAAACAAATATTAATAAATAAGGCGAAGATAAAACGTAGAAAGGGGATAGAAAATGAGTAATTTTCTTAATTTTCACGTACGTCTCATTAACCATTAGAGAATAAATATTTCGTCATTCTTTTCGTAAGAAAATGAATTTTATTTGATCCAAAAATACTTTTTTATATATTATTTTTTTCATATTTATTCCTTTTCTCAAATGGTCATCAAACTAAGCAAAAATAATTTTCGGCAATTTTCAGAGAATTTATTAAACAATATTACTAATTACCCGTATGAAGATAAATCAGAGATTATGTTTGCTCTGCTAAAAGTGGATATTTCACAATTAGAAATAATGCGATTATTATTTGTAAGCCTTTTAAAATAATCTATTATTGTTAAAAATAGAGGAATAATGAATAGAGGTAGCATTGACGAATGCTTAGCCAAAGAATTTCTCGAGGAGATCAAAAGTAGCGGTTTCTTTACGCTTACATATGCATTACATATCGATATTTAGCTCGCTCATTGTTATTTTGTAGTGCTCTTGGTGAAAAAAAATGAATTAATTTGATTCATAGAGGTAAGAACGGGGAAGAAATCCATATTTTGCTAAATTTAACCGAACTTCATTGATCACCGCGGATTCATTGTTCTTTTCCTGTCTTTCATTATCATTTTCTTACGCTTTCAACTTCATTTTGAAATTGTATGATTATAAAACCAATCAAATTTCAGTGCTTTTAATCGAAGTAAATAAAAATTGCCTTCGTTATGAATTTGGCAATTCATTTTTTATTTGAAATTATATCGATGAGCTTCAGATTGTTTGCAGATTTGAAATCATATCCAAGAAATCTTTCAGTATTAGGTATTTTTTACATGGCACGTTAAATTGATATATCTTTATCTGATTTCCTCGTATAATTCTATACTATAAAAATAAATATTCGAAACTAAAAAGGCTATAAAAATATAACTTTTTACATCATTTCAGCGTATATATAACATAAACCTGAACAATAACATATGCAGAACCAATTTTATGAAATATCATATTTTTTCCTAAAGGTAATCAGATGAAATCTTAAACGTTTTGATCGACTCTACTATACGATAACGGATGGCAAACATGGTCAACCACAAATTTCAAGTGTTTTAATGCTTCAAAATACTTATCGCGATATGTCAACCTCGCTGATATGAGTGTCATTATCGACAAATATCCATCACAAATGCGAGCACCAACACTGATTGAGAGTTTTATTTGTTGTGTCACCCATCGCTATGTAATTTTGTCTAGTCCATTGTATTCGCTTTCTATACGTACCAGCATTTTATGGATATATAGAATAATTTTTTTGAATTCACTATTATTCGCATTGTATGAATTAATGACTTCTAATTCGAAACCTATGTTATGGGGAAATGTTATATAATGAAATTGCTTACGGTAGATTGGAATAAGAAGAAGAATAAGAAGTGCAAATGGATTACGATGATAGACTAATTGAAAATCTAACTAATATTCAATGAAATCCTTTAGATTCAAAATTGAGAAAATTTTTGCAGTTCCTTCATTAAATACCTAAACTGTTGATGTTAAATTTATCTTTCCCTATGGCAAAATTTTGGAGACTGAGTTTGAGGTTGGTTTGTTCCTTTTACACATATAGATATCCCATTTAGGTGAATCGATTTATTTACCAACAGCGTTAGCGCAACATTTACTTATGTTGCATTATACATTATTACTTGGATTAATGAGTAATGCATTCCAAGTTAAAGGTTAAATGTGCTAAAGGTCATCATTTCTACAGGTAATGCTATAATTGCTGTCGGGCCACTTTTTTGTTTTTCAGTTTACGCAATCTGATAGCGAATCTTGAAGCCTAAAAACTGTTATGGTATTAAATAGATACAGACTCGGATGAGCGCCCCATAATTTACGCGTCATTGACTATTAATTCGATTAAATAATAGGTGACCACCCGCAGTCGATTTTATAATCAACGGATTCAAAAGATCGACTGTTTATTATTGACTGTTCTGGATGCGATGAATTCAAATTTTGAATATTTTCTGGTAGAAAGGATTATTTATGGCAGATGTTGAAATCTGTGTGATACATATACGCTCAGAGACTTAAGTCGTTGTGCGGTATTTTTGAAAAGGTCATTATAACGCAAAAAACATTGTTTTAAGGGTTATTTTTCATTATAAATGGATTTTTTAAAAGATACTATGGTCAGATTCATGAAATTCTCAGTAAATTATTTTATTCATTGAAAACCAGCCAAGCAGGGCGACAAACGCTATGTGCTTGTATTAATGACAACAGGCAAAATAACAAATAATAATAAAATTTAGTAATAGAAAAATAGAAAATATGATAAAAATTAACAGTTTAAAGAGGAAATTGCGGAATAATATAATATAGTACAATTCGAAATAACTCTATATTGTATAGTCGGATGTCGAGATTTCACACTTCCTGCATGATATGAAGTTTTTTAAATAATATCATATTTTCTTTTATCTTTGTCTTTTATCTGTAATATTAGCTTTAATATTATTTTTTATCTAAAATGATAAAATTTATAAAATTTATCTTATCTTTTTTTGAAGATTGCTGAGGATTACACATAAGCTATATCGTTCGGTAATTTATTCCAGTAATTAATAGTGCGAATAAAGAAATCATGAGTCCTTAGTTTAGTTTTACATATAGGTTTAGTAATTAAAGCTTTCTTTTTAGTGAACTGGATTCATTGCACAAATAAGCAAACAGAGAAATTAAAGTATGAAAAAAAAAAATATTCAATATATAAACAAAATAGATGGACTTGATTTATTTCAAGAAAAAAGCATTATTGGCTCTCATTTATTAGACCAATTATTGTTTTAAAAATCGAGAAATTTTGAACGGTTAACGGTCAAATTTTAAATTTAGGAAAATGTCAAATATTTCAAGAAAGCTTCCAACTAAAGTTTTGATATGCCATTGCTTCAATTGCATCAGACGGTTTTCTTGCAAGCAGCCTTATCTGTAATTTCTTTTCTAGCATTTCTTGTACAAAAGCATTGGTCTTTTTCATTAGCTACATTTTCAATCAATTTCCTGATGCCACTTCACAATATGGCCGATTGTTGTTGCCGCAGCTCTACAAAGGTCTTTTTTCCATTAAATCGGTCATTTCCGATGTATATTAGCGATCAACGGAGGTTGAAAGACTATTGACAACTATAAATATGTAGTACTAAAGTTTGCGAATATGTTATATTTCGTGGGAATATATTAGTCGGCGCCTTATTGGCTAAGAATTTACCGAATGGGGGATTTATTTAATGATATTGACATGTTTGTTCAGATAATGAGAGAGTAATACTAACAAACAGTAGCTGCTTATAATGGATTTTATAACAAATCAGATAGTCTTCGGCAATTTACCACTAATTCAACAAATGCTGGAAGCGAATAATGCTTGGTTGTAGTGATGAACGAAACCGAGTTTAAGTCAGTTTAGATAAAATATTGACGGGAAGTACTGCACTTTATAAATTGATACTTATAAATTTGTTAAATGATGTGATTTTTTAAAAATATTATAGATAAATTGAGGTAAACTTATTCCAAAGAAATCCAAATTTTGAGTATCGTCTCATAAAGCTTAATAAAATCTTCTATATAAACGCGCCCGCTGTCATTAGCAGCCATTCTTGTATAGTGCTAGCATAATGCTATCTATCTGCTGTACTGAATAGCTGATTAACTGATCTGCTATTCA